CCACCTAATCTGATGGTTCAAGCTGATTTAAGGGAGCCTCCAGGGGCGGCGGGGGTGGGGGGAGTAATCGGCATCACTCCACTCAGGAGATGTACATTTACACAGTCTTCGCCAAGCTTGGGGCTGCCCATAACTCACCGAGGCCACGCTAACGGACCATTAGTCACCCTTATCATTTCATAAAGGGGCCACAGTTCCAGGCCCTGCCCTAAGAAGCTGGTTCAGGTGCTGCCAGGGGGTGAGGTCAGAGTCCAGCCGGGGCCCCAAGCTGCCCTAGATGAGGGTGGCTGGAGCTCCCCCTGCAAGCCCTCCCCCACACTGCCTTCTGCCCTATTGCTGGAGAAGAGTGCCGGAAGGGGCCTTTCTGGACAAGTCTCAAGTTGTGAAAGCAGCATCCTCCGTCCTTCGGGGAGGGGTGAGGGAAGAAGCCAGACACAGGCTGGTTTCAGAGAGCCGCTGAGGGTCCCAAGGCCAGTGGCCCAGCCCCCTCAGGAGAGGGGACCCTTGGAGGCAGCCCTTCCCGACTTTCTGCTGTCTCCGTGGCGGTGTTGCACCTCTTCACTTTGCAACCTTTGATTCAGCAAAATCAAGGATGCAAACTTCTTAGGAGTACTTAGTTTCCATAGCAACTGAAGCTGACCTCAACATTGTTCTCAAGAGGGGACTGACTTTGCTATATGTTCATTCACTGAATTAATGGACTCCCCGTTCTTTTATCAGCAACCCCAGAACAATGGAAAGAGAGACATGTCCTCAAAGGGCTTTCAACCACTGTCCAGCCTTTTGTTCCCGGCTTACCGCGACGAGGCAAGTCTATTCAGCCCGAGATTATAAAAATCAACTCGGGGCTGTCTCCAGGGCAGCTAAACACACTTTGGTTTCATAAAGACATAACTGATCCTACATGCAAATTAATAATTTCGACACAGCATTTTTGCTGCGTTAGTGGGTTTTTGTGGTTGTTGACGGGTTTTTTATTTTTGTTTGTAATAGTGTAGGTGTAGGGAAACTGCAGGATAGTTGTGCACTTTGATGGGCTCTGAGCGTGACCAGATGTCTAGAAAGGGTAGGAGGGGAAGAGGTCCCTAAGCTCACCTCAGTGACACAGCCCTTAGACAAGCTATGCGTGGTGGTGGAGAGCCTTCCGGTTCCAACAAACACCAGCCAGACCCTGACCTGCAGGTCAGCCGCGCATCACAGAGGACCCGTATGTGTATCTCCCCGCCGCCTCACCCCCCAGCTACCCAGGAACAATATAAACCAGTCCCCGACTGCACAGCTCGTGCAAAGAAACCGTCTGCAGGGGCAAACAGATCACTCAGTTGTGGCCAGGTTTAGATCTCAGGATGTGTGACATCCAAACAATTACTTTCACAAAAGCCACTTGGTAGCTGCCCGGTTGCCTCGGCTCCCACTTCCTCAGCAGGCTGAGTTCACGCTCCTGGCTCTGGTCATCCTTCATGAACCCTGAGGCCTCTGGGCTTCCGGTCACCAGAGGCGGCATATCCAGGACCATACGATGGGTAAAAGGTCCCCGAGCCCAGTGGGAGAGGTTATGCTTCTAACACCCAAATAATCACTTCACAGATTTCCATAATCATCAATCAATCATCCTATTTGGATCACTCGAGAGCTATCAGGTGGCTTTTATGACCTGTAGCATTTTGTACGAAATAATAACTGGAAGAGATTTATGGACCCATCGCTGACCCTCTCGACTTATTTATTTATTTACTCTTTTCATGTCTCCTGCCATGGCCCAGGAGGAGCGCTGGCTGGGCCCTTCCAGACATGAACCTTTTCCAGGACCCCGAGTACCAGTTATAATGGTACAAATCCCCGATTTCTTTATTTGGGGGCGGAGAGGGAGCAGAGAAAGGGAGGAAAGGCGGAAATAAAAATACAAGAGAAAAAGGTCACTTCCTTTCATTTGTGCTCTCTCCCAGTTGCCCTGTATTAACACCCCCTTCCTCCACGAGATGCTGAAAGAAAACAAGATAAAGCAGGACAAAGGGAAAGGCCGTGGGGCCCTGTGTTTCCCTTTTCATATCACTGAAGAGATTGAATCAAAATTCCTTCGCCTGATACCATCTCCCCGGGTGGACTACACTCTTGTTAACGGATAAATTCAGCCCTCCAGAAAGTCAAAGAATAAATTTAAGCCTTTGCCAAATGTCTATCCTATTGGATTTTGATAAGGCGGCCATTGAGCCTTAATAATGTCTTCCATCCATTTTCCGCGAGCCCTTAACACGGCTCTTTATTCGTCCCCAAAGCCTCTTCTCCCGGCCTTTTTATTACGGGCTCCGACGAGCTCTCCGGGGAGCCGCGCAGCCAAGTGATGGATGGACAGCTTGCTAGATTATCTCCCGCAGATGTTTGCTCTCCAGGAGCCCCCGGGCTTCCCTCTAAGTAAACAGACTAAATAGAGTCGCCAGCAGAGGGGCAGCCCCAGAGGTCCTGGGTTCTGCTGTGGGAAGAAGCTGGACTGGGTTTGACCACAGCCAGAGTGACGACTTCTAGGGAAGCTCAAGTGATGTCTCCAGAGGGCACAAAGGACCGGGGCAGAGATGGCAGCGGGGATTTAGGTACTTGAGGTTTGGAACACAGGCACAAAGCTGGGGGCATGTGGCCACAAGTGATGAAAATGTTAGTGACAGTGGAGCCCAGAGGGATGCTGGGAGTAAGAGGCATGGTGGGTGAGTAGGGGTGAGCAGGAGACTGGGTACAGTGAGGGCGAAAGGGGGAGCAGAACTGAGAAGAGACTGAGCCAGCGGTAGCTTTGCTCAGCACAGGCTTGCAGAGTCTTGGGTGTGAATCTTGACACAACTGGCCCATGCATAGCCACGCTTGCCTGGCTCCTTCTGTAAATTCTGAATACTCAGAAGCATGAAATGCCTCTGTAGCAACCTGTTCTCTAATACTTAATACTTCCAAGAGCAACATCTTCCCTTCCTGCAGCAGTGTCATGGGCTGAAAGAATGAAACCAAGCCTGCTAGAGTTCACAGACGCTGGTGCAGGGAAGGATATATGAAGCTCAGAGATGGCAACTGAACAACCCAAGGCCACACAGTCTCCACATGCCCCCTTGGTCCTCCACTTCCCTATCATATTCTTAATACAAGTGTGCAAGTCTTCAGGTAATCCAAACACACACAGGTTCGTATAGCATTGCTCAGAAAGAAAAAAAAAGCAAGTATGTAGCAACCACAGCGTTAAGTGACATGTTAGTGAGGCAAAAACTTCCACACACACAGAAGTTCAAAGTCCTATGTGTCCCCTCTTGCTCCTGGCATGGGACCCCCTTTGCTGTTGACGTAAAATTCCCATCTCCATTCAGTCCCCTCCACCTCCCACCACTTAGGTCCAGACCAAAGACTAGGTTTTAATTCTTGTTCTGTGATCCCAGAGAAGCAGGGATGTCTGAACTCAGCCGAAGCTGGAAAACTTCTGCTCAGCAGTCCCTGATGGTATGCTGCAGCAGCTCCCCAGCCTCACGAGAAACACTGTAGAGCGTGGACAAGGATACCCACCCGCAGCCTCAGGCTTCCAAGATGCTCCAGCCTCTAAGGGAGTTAGTCTGTGGGGGCCCCTAGGTTCTCTGAGACCCTCAGCCTGTCTGTAGCTTCAGGGGCATCACAGGAACCTGCGACTGAGACAGCTGTCCCCCAAGTATCTTCAAGTGGGTCTCTGGTTGTGATGTACTTCACAACTATCCCAGAAGCAGCTCCCGAGATGACCTGGGGCCAGGTTAGACAAGAACTCACGGACCCACATTTTATAGAAGAAAAGGCACAAGTCACAAACAGCGTCCCTACTTTCCACCCCAGAGCAAGAGCAGAGCGACCAGACTCACTCCTGTCATCTGTTATTTTGTTTCCTTTCAAAAGTATATCCAGCGCTCTCCTTTTTGTCGCCCTTTACATTTGAACTTGACCTTTTGATCCCTTGCCTTAACCACTTTACCTTGGCTGGGCGACACACCCAGAGACACACTGACAACAAGGTGGTCCACTCTGTTGGTGGCAAAAAGCAGACTGGGCTTCACTTTTCCACAACTCTTGAGATACAGAATTCTGTTCCAGCCCCCACCCCTTTCCTTTCAAAACACACATATTTACCCAAAGAAGAAAAGGGGAGTGGAAGGGAGGGAGGGAGAGAGGGAGACGGAGAGAGAAAGAATCTGGCCCGTGGTACACTTAAACGGTAGAGGGATGGAGGAAAGAAGGGCCCCTGTGACAACTTCACCTCCAAAATATTGCCTGAGGTCTGCCTGGGGGAAAGACAGTTCCCATCCGGTAAAGAGCTCTGCCCGTGTGCCCAGCGTAGTGCCCACTAGGTCAGACTTGTCTGCTCACTCGGGTGGCAGGACCCCTCAAGTTTACATCCTGTGTGTGTGTCCCTTGACCATGTGTATTTTCCCCTCTGCATAGCTTTCTCTCTCTGTGTCTCTATCTCTGAGTCTTTCAGAGCCGTGTTTGTCGACCAGCTATGATCCATCATCAGCCAGAAAGGTGGTAGACAATGCCCAGTTGAAGCTTTTTCTTTTGCCTAATGCTTTGCTTACTTAAAGCGACGCTTGAGCCCTCTTTGGGAGTTAAGAGCGCAGCAAAAGGATCTGTTGAATCTGCGGCCCCTTGCGCTCCCCCCACCCACCCTTTTCATGTGAGTATTCAGTGAAGATAGTTAAATAAACACAACCTGCCTTTATTTAGTTTTCCTGTGTCTGCATGGCCCGCAGCATTCCCACGGGCCCAGGGTTGTCCTCTGTTCTCAAGAGCTGGGGTGGCTTAGTGAGGTGACCCCCCCACTGCTGCTTACACAGTGAAAATGAGTGTCTCCCCTGATGGCATTCATATACTGTGTGCAGATGATGCTCTGCTCATGGACTGGTTCTTTGCTCTGTAGCTCAGAAACAACCAGGACCACATGGCTGTCCCACCAGGGGCCACGTAAAAGGGTACTGGGGGGTGATGACAGTCACGGCAGGTTTGCCTACCTTTTTGATGCAGCTCTCCTGGGATGACACCTCTGTATCCGTCAGCATCTGCTGCAAAGCAAATCAGAAAGGGCTGTTAGTGGCTAACAGGTGTCGCCTTCACGCCGCAGAGGGCTGTGAACCACAGGGGGATCAACACCTCTCCAGCGTGAAGGCAAGATCCCGTGGCTTCCCTGAGAAATGAAGGGAAATAATGCTGGGGGCTCTTTTAGTTTCCATGTGTGTACACGCATGCATGCGCATATATGATAAACATTGCCCGACAGGAAGCAACGCGTGGGAGGAAAGGGTTAACCTGGTCCACGATTCTAGGTTACAACCTATTGTTCTGAGAAAGTCAAGGCCAGAACTCGTACAGCTAGTCACACCACATCCACTGTCAAGAGCAAAGTGGATATACATGTCCTCAATCATTTGCTTAGTGTCCTTATTCTAACAGAAACCCCATACGCTGGGGACCTGAAAGATGTCCTTGCCCTGCAAATGTTGCGGTTTGTTCTTTACAGCTCCTCTTCGGAGTCGGTGTTGCTCTGCAGAGAACCCATGGCCCAGTAATGAAAGTGTGAGGGCCGACACATCCTAAAGCAGGCCGCCCTTGGCTGCAACCAGCAGGGAGCTCAGACCCTGAAAGGTACAGCAGACTTCGAGCTCTGCCAGAAAACCCAGCAGAGCCTCTGTAAAAATGTCTCCTGTTCTAGTCTGCCCAGCCTTAAAAGATTCGCAGGCTGCCGGCATGACCCTGTCCTCCTAGGGATTCCAGTTTGGCTTAGGAGGCAGAGCTCCGGGGAGCCATGAGTTCCACCTCTGTTCTGAGACATCGGATATGGGAGCAGGCACGGGTTCCTTGAGTCTGGGATGGCAGCGTGTCACCTGCTCCTATTAACATGACATGCCCCAGGGAAGGAAGTTGGCTTTGTGGTGTCTGGGGGTACTTCTTCAGCTGTGGTGCTGGACATCATGAAGGCACTTGAACCACAGCAGACCTGCATCCTCTACCTCACAGACACATCTGGCAGCAGGAGAGAGAGAGCGCCACCCTTGCATCCTTCTGTCCATACAGCTGTCCTTGACTCCGATCTGCAGAGCCTCGGCATTTTTCCCCAGCATTTTCCCCCAGCAGCCCCGCCTAGAGGGCGGGTGCTTCAGTGATCAGACACAAAACGCTACAGCTAAGCAAACTGACAAATGGGTGGTAGAAACCAGACTTTTCCCTTCTGGATTGGGAGTCCAGCCCATAGCCTCATGTTCATAAATTATAATGTCATTTCCAAAAGAATAGGAACCAAGATGGAAAATCAAACTTGAAAAACAGAATGAGGAGTTATGTCAACCCAAAGAGCTTTCTCTCCCTTCCTTTCCCGCTACCCCGAGGTGCCCACGTGTGCCCGTGCAGACCGGCAAGGGAGTGCGGTACACCAAAAAGGCTCTGCCTGGCTCAGCTGTAATAACAAGAGGCCATATTCTAAACGTTGGGAATTCTAACCAATTGGGAACTTTATGTTTCTTTTAATAAATTCTGAAAGTGTGGTTTGGAAAAGTGACTCTCAGTGAGACGTGAAAGTGAGGGAAGGCTAGGTGAACTCCACGCAGACTCACACCAGCCTCCGGAGGGAACGCCACCGATGACCCAGCGATGTGCTTTGCCCAGACGGGCTGGATTCTGACGCATGACCAGCTGCAGAAGCCAGACAGAGCTGTGGACAGCTGTGCTTCTCCCTGTCCCCCAATATGGCTTCTCTTCTCTTCTCACTCAGAGCAGGGCCAGGGAGGGTGGAGGGGATCCCGAGAGAGCGAGACTGACTGCTGAACCCTAGAAAAGCTCTTTCCCAGTGAAGTCTGCAGTCACGTGCTGGAGGCAAAGGTTGCCCAGGGAGGCCTCTTCCTGACACTGTCTATCCAAATCTGTGCCCTAGATGCTGCTCCCAGTGGGGATAGAGACCTTTTGGCTAAATACTCACAGGATGGCGGTTCTGTGCTGCAGGCCACCCCATGGCAGGGTAAGGGGCCAGTCCTGTGGGCCATGAGCTCTCTTGGTTTTTAATGGCCTTGCTTCAGCAAGGAAACATTGGTGTTTTCACTTTTCCCAGGAAAGCAATGCTTGTGCTACACGGGGAAGAAGAGACACAGCCGGAAGATGCTCCTTGTAGGAACCAACTGTGCCCCATATGCTCAGCAAAGAGCAGATGCTGCCCCAAACCTAGTGCCTGTCTCTAGACTCCATTCGTGTAGTGAGTGGGGATCCCCATGCTGAAGCCCTGCCGTGAGGACTCCTGAGCTGCTTGACGCAGCTGGATGTTTTACCTGGTCACCTCATCCCTGTTAGGGTCCTTTCCTAGGGTCCCAGGATTCAGGGACAGACACACACACACATGCACATGCGCACACACACACACACACACACGCACACACACGGCTGCAAAGTCTATGAGTATGTGCTGTGTGTGCTGAACCTGTCAACAGACAGGTCACAGGCTCCATGTGATGTTTTAGGACCAGTCTAAGGAGCTCGCCTGGTGGCATTCCACAGCCACCTTGTACTAACACTCTAACGTCAACACAGTTCTAGACACTGGAGGGAGGGCTGGGTCGCAGGGCGGGCTATGAGATGTCTCTGGCCATTCTGATGCAAGGCTGTCCTGGACTTCTGGAGAGGGCACCCACCCCAGTCCTAGGCGATCTCTGAGAGTAAGGGGGTGTCTCCTGTCACAGCAGAGACTCCTGATATGAAAGTTGCACCTCGTGTCACTAGTAAGTGTGGGGCCGAGGCTAGAATGCCTTTGCATACCTGTCTGCTCTGTCCTCTGTGTGTTCAGTCAAGCTTCAGGTGCCGGCAAGGTCACCAGCAGCCAACAGAGGTCCTTGGGAAGGGCCTATCACCAGCTCACGCTGCTCACATTCACTGTTCTGGAGCGTGTGGCTGCCTCTGAGGGAGTGCTCTTTTTTAGAGATTCCTTCCTCCTAGCAGGAAAGGGTTTGAATCTTCCAGGCAATCTAGCTAGCACCCACATATCTGTGTTCTAAGCACAGATGACCATAACTTTGGGGAGAGGATGAAGTCCTTCAACAGCACCCCTGACAGAGTTGTCCAGGGAGCTCCCCTCAACACTGCCTTTCTATAGCTGCAGGGATCAAACCAGAGCCCTTGGGACATCAACAAAGGCCACCCTGGACCTGTGGGACCTCAGATTCATGGCCTGCAGAGTGGGGCTGTTCTTTTCCTGCCCTCCTTCCTTTCCCCCATCTCCCCCACCCATGGGTACCTCCTATTGTAGCAAGCTTGAGTTTCCCGTGATTCTGATGGCTCTGACCACACTGTCTCCCTAGCCTCCCAAAGGCCCACGTCACAGAAAAGTGGCAATGCTGACAACTACATTTACAAGGCCTTTGTCGCCTGGGCCACCCTGTTTGCATTGGGGAGACCCACATAGGAAAGGTTTCCCTCGGTCACTAGTTTGCAGGGGACTAGAAGGTCCTGCGTGCTAGAAATGGCTCAAATCAGTCGCAAGGCCAAAGGTGGAGTTTCTTTTCTGAAGACACCAGAGGCTGCATTCTGAAATCATGTCTCACTTTTCAAGAAGTTAATCGCCACCAGTGGAATGAGAAGATATGGAGATAGATTGGGGGCACGAGGCCTCAGCTTACAGAAAAGACAGCTGGATCTGCCAGTTCTGGGTTCCAGAAACCATAGCGGCCTTTCTCGCAGGGGGTAGCAGACGCTGCAGAGGCTACCGGTGTCTCCGAGATATGGTGTTCCAGGCAGGACTCTGGTCACCCACACCAGCTTATGCTCCACACCTCAGTTGGAAACCAGCAGGAATGTTCTGGGGATCTGGGTCTTCTTGACACTGTACACAGTCTGTGAGTGGCCACACAGCCTTCTCCCAACCTGCCTGTCACCCTTTAACTCAGGGGAAGGCAAACTGTGTTCCGTAGACCTGCGGATGAGTGTAGTCCCAAGCAGGGCCCCCATCAGAAGCTAAGGAGTAGCAGAGGGTAAGTGCCCAGTTAACCCATCTGCTATGTCATTATGGGCACTGTTACTACCTACCCTGGAGTTCGCTATCAGATGGGGACTCACAAAGGGACATCAACGACCTCATCTACAACTCTCGTCAAGAGTCACCAAGTGAGAGGGAACAACCAGAGCCTTGTGCTTTCTAGGTCATGGGTCCTGCCAGCCTTGGGGAGAGGAGCTGGGGCTCTGTTTCTTGGCCCTCTTCACCAGTACTCTGAGCAGATACTCCCTGGGCTGTGGGGCATGCAAGCTTGCACTGAGACAAACTGAGAGCTGCCGAGGACCAGGCAAGTATCTCGTGGCAGGCTTCCTGAGTGACTAGTGCTGGAACAGGAGCATCACGCCCTCAGAGGAAGCTGGCACCTCATGAGTTTCCAGAGCCCCCCTGCAAGGGAAGGTTTGAGCCAGGTTCCGATTTAATGGCAGCCTTGCCAGGTAGAAATATCTTTAATGAGGCCCTCCTCACCCGCTGCTGACCTTGGGTGGAGAAACCGCCGGACACACTCCGGAGCCTCTCAGCCTTGGCTTCCTCGCTGGCTGGGCTGCCTTTTGCTGAAAACCCTCTTTATGTTGCTAGCTCAGCCTCAGCGCTTGTACTGCCGGCTTGCTGACTGCTGGCAGTGGCTGCCCCAGGCTCTCAACTTCTCCCCCACACCCCAGCAGAAGTATTAGGTGTGTTTTGATTGAACATTTTAGCCAAAAAAGCGAGGTTTGACCTCCGGCATTTAGCTTCTCTCTCGAGTATCGGTGCCAGGATTTAGCTAAGTGGGGTTGCTCAAAACATCTTTTTTGACTCTTAAAATAAATACCCTCTGTTCTCCAAGAGGTTGGTGAGGAGTAGACACACACATAAAGACATCTCATAGGCTCACAGCTCCAAAACTCTGGCATGTTCCCCAAGGGGGCCGACTTTTTGTTTGGTGTCACAAATGGATCCCAGAAGGCGTCTCTCCCTTCAAAGAATCTGGGAGCAGACCCATGGGAGAAAGCCAACATGAGCCCCAACATAAGGCCACTCCAAAGCCAGAACAGCCAG